TATATCTTTCTCCTTTTTTTTCAATCTATTCTTTTATAGTTTCCTATATTTCAGTAGTTTGGTAGGACATTTGACAATAACAACCTGCTGGCAATAAAATAATGGATTAGAAAAATCTTTATCCAAAGTTCACTATGAAACAAAATATTGTTTCCAAGATCAAACTTAAAGCCTATTATTGCCTATTATGAGTTAGTTAAATTTGATATAGATGTTTGACTGTAGTATATATCATACTATTTGAATGAAAATATACTTATGTTTTCAATTGATTAATAAACTATGATCTAGCCTGATTATAAATACTCAAAAAAAAAAAAATTTAATCAATATTAATTATTTTTTTTTTTTTATTAGATATTATCTAATATAAGTTAATATTTCAAACAACCATAAACTTGATAAATGATTAATAAAATTTTGAGACACATAAAATATACAATATACTGTATATTATCAAATTTTTTTTTAAATGCTGGCTCAGCCTTACTTTATTTGAAATGTGGTAAGTCTGTACATGTGATGCTATAGCTACCCACGCTTATCAAATATAGTTCGATAAAGAAGCAGTCTTGCGACTGCACTTACCTCGCAGCTTGTTGCCACCTCATTTTAGAGGGTGCTAACCTGCCAAGGTTGGGCTAGTGCTGTATGAAAATTCCAAGATGGTTCATGTATTAGTTGACCAAATGTATAAATTGGTCTTGTTCAATAAAATTAAACTGTATATTACCAAATATCACTTTTCTAATTATGAAATTTGAAATACACGGTATTTTTAATATACAACATGCTGTAAATTATCATTGTTTTCAAATCCGGATACGGGTTCGGATCGACGAACACTAACGCTAATGTGCGCGGATTATTAGTTAAGCGCATCAATTTTAATAAATCAACTCCACGTAGGATATTTCTAATAAGAAAAAAAATAAAAATAAAAATCATTTTTTCAACTTGGTAACATACTGAATACTAGATAATCTATGAGTGAGGAAACACCATTCGTTCATATCGATCAATTGATTCGACCACTCAATCACATCGTCCATGTGATCCATGTCAACGTCCACGATCTCTATCGAAGGACAGGCTAAGGATTCGAGGTCAAGATATTTGTGCACCAGTGTATCATTGAACTCGGGCAATTTATCGCGATTTGTTATTACCACTATATATGGAACCCTTGGGTGCAGTCTTTTCATGACAGTTGCTACCGATTGCAGCTATCCGCGTGAGTATTAGCAGGTTATTGCACATTAGCATTCACAGTATATGTAAGACGGGAAAATGTGGTGTCAAACAACGAAACGGTCACTCACAGCACGACGCGTATCTATCATGTAGTCGTAACAAGTTTTAAGTTTTGATTCGAGAGGAGGAAATTCGCCTTTTGCTATTTTATCTATTTTTTCCGTGTCTGTGACATATGTCTTCAAGCTATAGCAGGAAGAATGAAAGGTTAAAGGATTTGCCGTCGTATAAAGACTTCCTCGACTTGCGAACCGAGACCTTTTTTGTTTAGACTTACCGGTAAACATTTATATCGAAAAAATACACAATGCGTTTCACATTCGGAGTATTAAAATAATGACGATAGTGAATATCAGGCTAGAATTGTGGTCAATACATTTAGAAACAGGGTGACAAGGGATATGTAATTACAATATTTCGGCGGGACAAACCTGATAGCCTGTAAAAACGGTGAAAGTGATGCGTAATTCGGTGGAGCCCCTCTTAACGTAATGACAAAATGGAGGATTGGAGCCTGTGATTAAGTGAATAATGAATCTTTAACTACGATTGCACCTTTGATTTGCTTTGATGCCGCTTTACAGTACGTGTGTCATCATATTCACAATACCGGGCATATCTATCATTCCGCTTTTCTTAATTTCCAGGTCGGACGTTTGTTTGGCCTTTTCCAAGAGCTTTACCTGATCAAACAATCAAACCGCTTAGGATGATATTGTATAAATTTGAAATCCTTTCGGGTATTCAAATTTGAAGAAAGAATAGTGAAGAGGAATTCATTATAATAAATATTTTTTTTTCTTTTTTTTTTTTTTTTTACCAATCCGGAGTCCGCTCTTCCCATCATTAAAAAGATTGCATCGGGTGCATTTTCCTTCGTGTACTTGGGATTCTCGTCGAACCATAACGACGGCGAAAATAATTCTCCATTCATAATTTGAAAATATGTACGTTACAGGGAACAAAGTCTTAACAAAACTTTTAAAAGCAACAGGATTTGGTTTTAGGGTTATTTATTCGCGAATTTAATGCTAATTTATGCATAAAAAGGGAAAGAATTGATGCGCAAAATATTATAAATGAATGGAGAACACGGCAATGAGTGAAATAAAAATTTTTATTGGTATGAATCACGTATTAATTAGATTAATTCTTAATTGCTTTTTCTCTTCCACTTATGTAAAACTAAGAGTTTAATATACTGTACTGTGCGTACGCGCGAAATATTAGCACACATGCATATGTGGCGTACATGATTCCCAATTCGTTAGACGAGAAATTATGTTTTTATTGTATGAGGACCTCGACCAAGGGAATATTCTTGGTTCTTTAGATTCCAGCTTACGAGTAATGAGATATGTTGACTATGCATTTTTTTTTTTTTTTTTTTAGAACTAAAAGGATGAATGCATCATAAAAGATAAATGAAGGAAACATAACCAATAAGGTGTTATTATCATGCCCCAATGAAATGCTATAGTTTGCTAGCTCACAGGTGAAGGCGTGAAGGCATGGGCATTGATTATGCACAAACATTTACAGCTAACGAAAAAAAAAACATTGCCCGTTGAATAAGTGTCATTCGTTGGTGAAATGTGAGAACTGTTATGAATTTATATGCTATCGGGAAACAATTTTCGAGACACACCTTTGTGGAGAAGCGATCTAATTCTCCTCCCCGTCAAAGATTTCTTTGAAAATTTCATTTTGATGCCTTTCATTCCAAAATTCGTCTATATGCAGGCTTCTTGTGATATTAGGAAAAATTTCGTAGAACCTTCCCGCCACCTCGGATAATCCGAGTCGATATTCTTCTTTGTTTGGATTAATCCTCACCAACACGTGTTTCTCTTGGAACATTCTGATATAAATATCACCTGATAGCTCGATGCGCCGTGTACTTTCATTATAATAGATATGATGAATCTTAAAGATTGGGTTCTTATTCATGTCTTCTGTACTTTGCGATTGGTCAAGGTAAACTCGAACATAATCATTCTCCTTTAATAACTCGGCACCGTACAAGAGGCCTTTGATACGAATGCACGGGTTTAATTTGTGGCCCTTTTTCGTTTCGCCGCCGTCGGTTTCACGGAATGGTTGCAACCGTTCATCCGAATAATAAGGTTCGAGCGTGGAGGAGGCCATCGCTTTTGCATGATCAACTGCTTGCAAGAACTTGGACATCAATTCTGTATGTTCAATATCTTTCATTTCAGCGGTGACTTCTTCGGGAACGATCTCCAACCATGGAAGAATGGATTTCTGTTTTAACAGAACGTTATCACCAAATAAAAATATTCTCAAATTGTATTGAACGGCGACTTCCGGAGATTCACCGGCAAGAACACTTTTGTCTTGACAATGATCGCGAATGAAAGCTGGCCAGTATGTAATCCTCGATCCAGACTCGTTTTTTTGACTTTCGGTCAGCACGTGACGTACATCGGCCCAGACGATCTCTCCAATTCGGAAAACGTGTGGATGCTTTTCCAAATTTCGATCTCTGCCATTGAGAGCCTCGGGGCCAGATGATAACGGATCGTTGGAGGAAATCTTTGGCTTTTTGGGTTTGACAGCATCTTGAGTTGACTCCGTGTTCAAGTCAGTTAATCTTTTTGATGAAGATTCCTTTTTTGGAGAAGCACGGGAGACCTGCCGGCGAGACTGATTCTTCTGGCAATACTTGCATCGACAAGGAGGTGCCCCATCTGATGCCAGCCATAAAAGATGCTCCTCAAATTCATGTGGTGAACAAAATTTCGAATTAACATTACTGCCTAGAAAAAAATAAATTATGAAATAATATTGGAGCATGCGAGTGCCAAGAAGATGAATGATCTCTGTTATGGACTCACCGAATAGATATGTATCCGTCCTAACTTCCACGTGATTTTTATTCTCCTTAACTCGTTCGAACAATCCGTATCCATCCGGAAGAGACGTCAACACCGCTTTAAAGGGAAATATCAATAGGTCAAGGAAAATTCTCATGCGAAGATACTGAAACGCTGGAAAAAAAATATCACACGTTTTGTTACGTCTATGCCAGATCTTCGCAACACTTTTGCCAATGATTCGCCGAGTTTGGTTAAATACAACACTCTTTTATTATCGCCAGAACGAAAATAAACCAATTCACCGGAAGGATTCAGGACTTGCGTGATATTTGGCCACCTGGACGCATCTCCATCAGTATTTGTGACGGTAAGGCCGTCATCGGACACGGTAACATTAACGAAATTCCTAGTCATCACAGATCTAAATCTCAGTTGTTGTCCACTTGTCTAAAAGAGATTTTCGAATGTCTTGCGTAAGTGAATAAAAAAAACCATACATATATATATATATATATATATATATATATCCTCAAAATAAAATAAAAAAAAAAAGGTCATAATTTTGTAATTATGACTGGTTTGCGTGCGTCATTAGATATCATTACATGAATCATCCATCTTATCTTATAGAAATGTAGAGGCCCATCGGATATACGAAGAAAGGAGATCAGGTTCTTGTAGTCAAATCGAAGATTAGGCTGACGGTGTTTCGGGCGACAAGTTAGATCGTGAGATTAAGTTAGATCGTGAGATTACGTTAGGATTTGTAAAAAATTAGCTGACGGGGCGATTGAGAGATACATCACGTGCACTTAAGCGCAAGATCGAAAACTAGTTCCTCGGTTTACGTTAAAAAGGTTTTTATTGTCAATGGAAAAGAGAAATGTTATTTCATATAGAATTCTATAGTCACATAATGACTTGCTGAAATTAAATATCTATATCTAAAAGTCTTTTTTTTTCTTCCTCAACTTATTGACAAATTGAGAATTTTTCTATGTAAACTGGTTAAACGTATATACGCATATATATATGTATGTTTGCATAAAGCGAAAGCATATTAAAAAAAAAAAAAGTTTTTTTTTTTGCAGTAATGTTTTTTAAACTTATGATAAAAGACTAGTCAACATGATTGTATGTTGAGAACCTGCCGCGACTACTTGAATCTCACGATTTTCAAACTCTTTGCTCATAACTCGGAATGGCGCGTGCTCATCAAACTCCTCGTCGTCATCTTCTTCGCCGGGCTTTTTTCCTTTATTTCCAAGGGCTCCACTATCACCAAAGCCAAAGGTATACAAGAATCCGTCTTTACCAACAACAACGCTATGGTGATCACCGGTGGTAATGAGTCGACACAATAATGGATTGCGCGACTTTGACGGTCTTCCACTCTCAACCTCCATGGGATCATCAATTTCCATGGCATCCTCGCTTCTGTCAACCTTCCCGGCGGAAACTGAAATTAATGTAGGAATGGGAATATTTCGCTGTCTTAATTCACCCAAACCCAACTGTCCGTAATCTGCCCTTCCAAAACTGAAAACTCTGCCATCCTCCAATAACGCTAGAGTATGATGTTCCCCAGCTGCGATGATCTTCACTCTCTTGTCGTTAAAAAATTCAACGATCGTGGGTTGCATGATGAAAACATCCTTCGAAGTAAAACCACATTGACCAAAATTGTTTAACCCCCAAGCGTACACGGTCCCATCTTGTTGAACTGCGAAACTGTGAAACGCTCCGGAAAATACTTTCTCGATCCCGATTAGATTTAGCTTATTTGGATAGAGACCGGAGGTGGCATGACGTTCGGAAACTTTTCTCGCGAGTTGACCCGCCTCGCCACTTCCCCAACAGTAAACGTAGCCTTCGGTTGTGAGTACCACCGCGTGATCGGTACCGGCAGCAGCATCCACGACCACCAATTCTTTTGCTGGTTCGTAGAGCACAAAGGTCATTTGTTGCGTGGGGGTTTTCTCTTTTACTTTGAAACCCAAAACCCCGGATTGGCCTTTGAAAGTTCCTGCCATATAGAGGTAACCGTCGGAAGATATTGCGAGTGAAATACTTCCGCCGCAAACGATCTTGGTGATCTCCACTCCCTCTATCCCTTCCGCATACGCAGGTATCGCCATTTCCTCGTTACTGGCAGTCCTTCGACCAAGCGAGCCGTGATCATTGCAGCCCCAGGTAACAACCCGCCCGTCGTGTGTTAGAGCCGCGCAATGTAAATTTCCACTACTCATGTCAATGACGGACATTTTATCAAGAATGGAGTTCAATGTGGGTGTTATTATTTCTTTGTCGTCGTCGGAATCGTCGTCTTCAGAAATGGCGAGTCCAAGTTGTCCAAAGTCATTGTTCCCTAAAACAAGAACATGACCTGAACCGCGTCTGGGAAGTTCTGGCGGCGGGAGACTGATCGCGTACTTGCTACGGCTACCTTTTGGTCTTCTAACAATTCTTCCTTTTTCGCGTGGTTTCGAAGGCCTCAGCATATTTTTTCGCCTACTTATTATAATTACTATTTAATGTCTACCCAGGAATTTTAAGTTTTGACAGAGATCAGGGTTTCACAAATACGGTATTGCCTTTCTTTTTTTTTTTTTTTTGCAACTATTGGGAAGAAAAATTTCCAAGTTTTCTTAGACAAACAGTAGCCAACTGGCTACACTTTTTATTGTATTTAATTGCATGATTAATCATGTGATGAATTTTGTAGCCTTTTCAAAATAATGAAATTTTAAGTACGGTATCCTTCTCTTAAAAAGCCGCGAGGAAAACACTTAAAATTCAGCATGGGTTCCCAGGAAATTATGAGATGAGATTTTCCATCGAAAATTTTAACAAACCTTAAGGAACGTTTCACCAATAGACACCTGCCGTATCGATATGCAATGAACAAATGGACTATCCTGAACAAGAAGGAAGGTTTCATTTGAAGTACTTTCCAAAATTCTAGAATCCTTTTAAAGTCCTATTCACTGTTCTCCGATGCGCGTAGGCACATTTTTCCGAATGAAAAACTGATGATCCTATAAAAAAATTTTTTCTGCTAGAGAAAAGGATTACGGCAAACTAAAAGATGCCTGCGTTTATTGCTTCGATATGTTGGACAAAGAATTTGATGGCCAATAAAAGTCCGGTCACGTATGTCACGCAAAGTCTACATAGTAAATAAATACCACGTGCTAACAGTACCACTAAAAATACATAGACGAGTTTAAAAGACAACGCAACTGACTTATACACCAGAATAATATAAAAATACACCTTTTTTTTATGATGGTTGATATAGTGAAATACGAGGTAGGAGTTGGAGTTTCCTCTCTTCCTGAAGTTACATCTCCTTTGTGAGTAGCGGCAGCTTAAATGCCGTTCATGATGCGTCGTGAAGCAGCGGGTCCTGTTTCCGAACGCATCGTGTAAAGAAACAAGGAAAAACCTAGAATCACTTATTCCCCCCAAACAATCCTCGTCCACCACTTGTCCCGTTGGATAAATTTGATATTCAGTCACGTATTAACGATGGAGTTTTCTCTTTTATCTGTTGTAGCGGGCGCTCAAATTCGTGGATCAATTACTAGTGAAAGATCTCATCGCCACCAACCGGTCTTTAAATTCAGTCCAATCGGCAAGTCTGCGTACGTCAATCACAAAGAAAATGGAGCTTCGTAATCATCTAATTGAGTACATGAAAAGAGTTCGTGACAGTAATGATCCGAGGAAGATTGACGAGATGTGTGATGTGGTATTACGAAAGGGTGCATCGGATCAGTCGAGGTATGAATGAATGCAATTCATGTATAAAGCTAGCATAGTTCAATGCGCAAGATGCTGTGTACAACTTCAACTTCACTATTCACTTTTGATTCAGCTCGCAATTACCGCCGGGATCGTTAAATGCTATTTCTACGTCACCGTTGCGCATCACCCTCAAACCACCTTCCCGACCCTCACAAAATCATACTTATCTTGGCATGCCTCTTGGTTCAAACCGCAGGCCTCTTCCAAACTTAACACCAATCACGATAACTAACGGGTCGCGAAACATTCAGTTTAAAAGTTCTCCCTTCTATGACATTTTAGAAAGGATATCTGAATCGAAGGCGCTCCCGGGTAAAGAAATGAAAAAAAAATCTTTTTTAGAAAGTTGTAATTGAAAAACTTCTTAATCGCGTCTTACGATTGAATGATTGGTTTTTTTTTTGTTTTTTTTTTTAAAAAAAAAAAACGTTGCTTTCAGTCGCAGCGGAAAACTCGAAGAACACCATAACCATGAATTTCCGTTTGAATTACGGACAAGTTCAAAGGATTCAACAATACAGGTGAGATATTTTAATGACATCCTGCGGCAGGCCTAACTCGATTAACTGATTCTCTTGTCATGTTTACAGGCGAACTTATCAGATCAGACTGTTTGGCTGTTCCGAGCCGTCCGGGTCGGTCGCAAATGAATGTTTAATCGAATTCCCGCAAATGTGTGAAATCAAGATCAATGGCGAGAACCTTTCAGTAGTACGGAATGAATTCAAATTATCCTCGTTTGGTTATTTCTAATTTTTCACATTAAGAGAATTGTTTGCTCCTAGAACACTAGAGGTGTAAAAAAAATGGTGGGATCCGTGAATCCGATCGATATAACGGTCTTGTGTAAATTGAATTCCAATTATGACAATAAACTCGAGTTCATATACGCGAATACGAATAAGGTAAAAGAGGGAGGAAGGAAGGGGAGGGTGAATTCTTATTCTTTCTTTTCTTTCTTCGTCTTTTTTTTTTTTGTGATAATTATTCGTCCCTCATTTAATTTAATACCTCCGATCTTTAATCTTGTGTTTAGCGATATGTTATAATGCTTCAACTAGTTGAAAAAATATCGGTCGATAGTATAGTAGAAAAAGTAAAGAATGGAAAATTCGTGTCCAAAGATGAAGTTTTGCGAAACTGTGTGTATTTGTGCAATTTGGTCTTGACTCCGATTGATTGACGATCATAAAAGAATTTATTTGATTTGATCGATGCTACTTAGGGCGGGAAACTGGCGAAGATGATATAGTAGTTGGATCGAGTACCATTTCTCTCAAAGATCCTGTACGCTAAGTCCACGAATTTCCTCATTCTTGTACATCCGAATAATTTATCTATCTATATATATATTTTTGATTAATCATCTATTTAATTCTCGAAAAAGCTGGGATATACAAGAATCAAGATCCCGTGTAAATCTACGCGCTGTTCGCACATTCAGTGTTTTGACGCATACCTCTTCTTCCAGCTGAATGAGCAAGTGCCTACATGGACATGTCCTGTTTGTAACCTTTCAATTGGATCGTGGGAAGACATTGTAGTGGACGGGTGAGTCTACTTTAATTTCCAGAGTTTCCTTTGCAAACATCATTGTTCCTTAATTTCTTACTATGAAATCTTAAATGTGATCGGCGTAAAGATATTTCTCGGACATACTGAAAAATACGCCACAGGATCAGGAAACTGTGTCTATAGATCCCAATGGAATCTGGACTATTCCAAAGAAGAGGGTCATCGACGAGCCAAAATTCTCCATGAGCAAACTAATCTCCAAAAAACCTCGAATAGATCAACCACCGCAAGATGTGTATATTATAGATTCATCTGATGAAGAAAAACCCCTTAAAAAGAAACAGTTATCCCAAACCTTTGATTGTAAAGAGATTATCGATCTCACTATAAGTAGTGATGAGGAGGAGGAACCCTCTAAAACCTTCAAAGATATAGCTACAGGTACTACTATTGTTAACTTTCCTGTTAAGATAGAAAAAAAACAGGAAATTCCGCCACAACCCATATCTTTAAATATGCCATATTCCACCCCGAACTATCAATCCTCTTCCTCACATTTCAACAATTATCCGGTTCCCCATTACTATCATCCTCATCAATATGAAATACCTGTTGTAGACGCTAAATCTTCAATTTATTATGATAACTCTGAATCCACTTTAATTAACACTCCTGGCTCTCTAGGAGAAAGTTACGAATATTACATGAGCCATGATCGACATGACTACGAAGGATTTGTCTGATGACGAATGTTAGAAGCTAAATCAATTACATACGGTAAGCAATTGGAAAACGACATAGACTTTCATTCTGTCGCCGGGTTCATAGAATAACTAATGTGTATCATACTTTCAGGAGTATTGTAGAAAGGAGAATCAGAGTATTCAAAAAAAAAAAAAAAAAGAAAAAAAAGAATACTCTTTTTTTTTTTTTTTTGTTTTTTTTTTTTTACTGTAATCTTGAATACTATGAAAAAAATAAGAATCGAAATAAGGATACTTCTCTAATCTTACGGAGACTTGAGATATGGATTCTTCTGTGTTGAATTCAGTAGAATAAACCTTTTGAAGAACAATCTTAATGCGAACCTGAATCCCTTATGTTTACCTTTTCATGATATTCACGATATTCCCTAAGCATATAATTTCTTTTGAAAAAAACAATGAAAATTTCTCGCATCCTCATGTACAATAGTTCACGATAAATCGACTATAATCATTAAAGGTTTTTAATTGGTGTGGGTTAATATATGCAGATGAGATTTAGAGTGATTAATGGAATTTTAATAATGGTCAGTGTGTTCTGTGCATTGGATTTATTTAAGTCACATTGAAAATGATATGGAAAACGCCCAAAGTATTTGGGAACTAGGATCCTTAAAAGACAATTAATTTCACTGACAATCGATTATTTACTAAATCACTAATCTTTCCGTTTCAGATTTTGGTCGAATGCCGAGTATTAATTGAAAAAAAAAAAAAAAGTAAGTTTAATGAGTGTTTTTTTGTGATCTTATTCTCTTAAATGAAAAACCTGACGCTTCAACGCAGTCCGAAATAAAAAGACTTTCCTTGTTTACTATTTAATAGTAAAAAAATATTGATATATATAAGAAGCTAGATGTGTTACACGAAGATTTCGTTTTTTTAAAGCGCAGAATAATTTCATAAATATAAACAATATCCTGTTTTATTACCTTTTACGAATTTGATTATACGAGCTTCGGTTATTAGTGTAAATTTCATCAAGTAATTATTTTCTTTTTTTTTTTTTTTGTAAGATTTTTAAGCCACGAATTACAAAATCAAAGTTCATTATAAAGCTTATCACTATGAAAGATTGGCATGGTTAATTTATAAAATTGCAATTCAATCTAACCAAATCGATTAAAGCAAAATCTGACTATTCAATATACGGTGAAGTCGAATTTATTTCAAACGTGATATAAATAAAACGTTGCTAGTTAGATTATTGCCTAAAAAGATTAATTAAAATAAATTGTACACTTCCCGGAAAAAAATCAGTTAATATTGCGACGATCATAATAATTTAAATTCAAATTTTTTTATTTTAATTAATTACAATAGTCAATATCGTGTAAGACCTCCTTGAGCTTCTTTTACAGCATTAACACGTTAATTCATACTTCTAACAAGATTTACATAAATTGATTCATATTTCTTTATAATAAATCAAACAATTTTAATTCATTTATTGATAAAAGATGTAACTACATATATGACATTCTGATTAATCCCATACAGTAAATATTCTATAAAATTGAGATCAGGATTTGTTAAAAGCCAAGAAAGCTTATTAATTTTATTTTTTTCAAACTATCACATAGTTAATTTTATCATATAAATCATCTTGAAATATATAATCTTTTTTTTAACTATACTACTTAAATTTTCTAAGTAAGATAAATAATAGTCTTATAAAATACTAATATAATCTTTTGCAATTATATTGCCAAAAATCTAAATCAAAGGACCTAAATCATAATAACAAAAATATTTTCAAATTATTACATCTATTCTATCTGATTTAAAATTAGAATCAAATATTCAATATTGAATTTTTTTAAGTTTTCTCTATATATAACTATAATTATCTTTTCTATATGCTTCAAATCATGATTTATTATTTCAAATTTTAGCTTCTTGTTTTTTTTTTCAACACATTTACTTTTTTACTTATTCTAATTTGATCTTATATTTTTTTTTATTTACAAAGAGTTATCTTTTATCAACTTAATTAAAATATTCATCTTTATGAAAATATTATTATATAATCTATACAAACTTTAATAGATATTACTTCAATAAATTTATTGATCTAAATATTTAGTATTGATATTCTATTTTATTTTAAAAAATAAATAAAATAATAAATATTATATTTAATTAATTGTAGTAATCTACTGGAATAGTAAAAAATCTTTTTTGATCAATTTTTTTATATAATATAATAATATTATAAACAAGGCTTTGAGAAAGTTTCAAGTTTTTATAATAGTTGATAACTTTATAACACACTTCCAAACTTTGTTTATTTGATTGTATTGTTATTTATTAAGTCTTTTCTTTTTTTAGTTTATTATAAAAAACTATGATAAAAAATAAAAAAATTTATATATATTCAGATAGTAGATATTCATAAAAAATAATAAACAAAAGTTATATAAATTCACATAAAAATTTATTTATAGAAAAAAATTTTTATAAACACAAATTATTATAGTTGATTATACTTAATTTTGAAATTCTGATAATTTTTTTTCAAAGAGTATATATATATATTTTTTATTATATATATATAATATGTATTTTACTCGACTGTCTTGACCTTTTTAAAACTTTTACTTTTATAGTTTTCTGAGAAATTTTGCCTACCTCAATTTGATTCTGAATTTGAATAGCTCAAATTTTTATCAAAAGTAATTGGTTGATATAAAATATGTCAGTTTTTAAAATATAAACAAGCTTCTATTGATCACATTCACATATCTCATTAAATTATTGGTGATATAAGAAAAAAAGTTCTAGAAAAAGTATTCTCTCCAACTACATATGTTCGATTTCTAAGAAACAATTCTGATATTGAAAGGTGAGTGATAAGTAGGTAATCAGATTTGACTTCTATCTCTCATTAAGTTCCTCAAGTGTTTAAAAGACTTTCTTGAATAAAAGCTAGGGTTTCCAAGCTTTTATTTCAGTCAGGCAAAGTTCTTGAAAAGATTTTTTTATCCTGGTCAGGCAAACTTTTCTATAATATGGTGCTAGCTTCACTAGTAATAAGTGAATTTATATATCAGCAAAAGAATAAGTTCCTCAAATATTCTTCTTGAAATCACTTTCAAGAATATTTAAGTTCTTCAAATATCATAAAGCTTAGAGGATATCTTAATCAGGCAAACCCCTTTCGAGAGAAAACTGTGAAATGAAACAAGAACCTTTTGAAAAGCTTTGAATTGTATTTTTCTTTTTTCCTTTTTCCAGTGCTACACTTTAACAATTTATTATTTTTCAGGATAATCAATAGTGACAAATAGTTGGCAATGATCCTGATTGATTTAGAGACACCATATCAAACTATTAGAAAAGCATAATATTGTTCCTTAAATCTAACTTAGAGTTCTAGTTTAGCCTTAGTTTTGTTTAATCTGAACTAGCTTAATGGACTTCTCATATTTTTTAAGTAGTGTAGTCTTTTAACTAATAATATATAACAACAAGCTAGTCACTTTGTAAAAAGTTTATAAAATATTTTGGTATCTTTCAATATCTCAATACTTTATTAATAAAATCTTTATACTTTTCTTAAAACAACTTGAAAAATATTTTTAAAAATTATTATTACAACCCTCATATTCAACACAAACACATAACATAACAGAACAACTACATATAAAGAAAGCAAATACTGACAATATCCACAAAAGCAGATCAGCCAATAGACCATATATTACAATCACCACTCTAAACTATACAGGCCTTAATGAATCCCTAAAACAAGACCTCTGGATAGAATCCTAAAAATTAATGAATGGGACATCATTATCTCAACAGAAACAAATCAGAATATCAATAGTTTATTCTGGAAAGTTCAGCACTTTACAACATGGTGAGAAGAAGCAGATAAAGGCATAGAAGTCAGCATCACACTCAGATAAGACCTTGCAGATAGAGTTATCAAGATATAGAGACTAGACAGCAGAATTCTCGTAATCAATCTTGCTTTTCCTAGAAAGCAATATATACGAATTATTGGAACCTACCTTCCTGCAGCCCTTGGCTCCCAATGTATAAGATTATCAAAAAAAATAATTGATCTCATCATTCAAAAAAACTAAGAACATTGGCATATAATTCTTGCTGGAGACCTCAACATGTACTCAAATGTCAACAAGGACAAATACAATCTCAATAGGAAAAACTTCATGAACAAACCATTCCCCTTCTTCACAGAGCTCTCCAACTTAAATATGATCGATACTTTCAGGTACCACAACCCAAGCAGCAATGAATTCACATGGTTCCCAAACTGGCACACAGATACTACGTGAAGCAGAGTAGATGCAATTTGGATATCATCCCACCCAACCTGGTGCTCAATAGACTTATATATAACTAACAATCTCCCCATCTCAACTAATCACAGAGCAGTAATCACACTCATCAAAACCTTGAAACTGGAAAACCCCACCAAGTGCTTCAGACATCTATCTCAAAGCACCAGATTCAACTGAGCTGCCACTACTGAACCATAATAGACAAAGTTTATCAAGGAAATAAATATCAAGATGTACAGCTGACACCAGATGATGAAAGAAGAAATCAATACCAACAAGCTATGGACAACCCTCAAAAACTGAATCCTGGAAGCAGCCCATTCACACATCAAACAGTACAAAGAGAGGAAAAGGAAATGGCACAAATCCGCTTCAAACATCAAGTCCATTTTGCTCCTCCAACTCAATAAACTCAGGAAACAACTCAGTTATCTTAGAAAGAACTCCATCCTCTTTGATCTGGATAGAATGACAACAATTTACAACAACATCCAGGAACAAATCCCCATCAAGCCAATAGACAAGAATATCAACCTCAAGTCACTGATCGAAGAAATTAATCGGTGGACCATAATAGAAAAAAACAGATACAAAAAAGCAATATGTAAAAGAATCTAAGCAACTATTAAACTCTTCAAGCTAAGATGACAAAACTGATTCTACACCAAT